AGCAGCACTCCACACTGAGTCTGGTGTTGCTTAACAGGTACCCTTCAAAAAACTAGAGCACTCCTGGTCAAGACTTACAATCGTATCTCAACGTGAACAAACTCCATTGTAGCGCTTTAGGGCCAGAAATGCATTAACCTCCTTTAGAGACGCACACAGACTGGGACACTCTCCCACGATTCGGCAGCTAGCGGGAAGTGGAATCCAGTGGGAAGTGGGAACTGGAATCCAGTGGGCAGCACGTAAAGCACCGCATCCAGAACAGCAGACCTCCGCCAATCATCATCACAAACACCCTTCTACCTCGTGCTCTTCCCTTCAAACCGAAGGTCAGCCGCAGCACAGAGGGCTTCTGACGGGAAAGGAAGCAGCAAATGAGGAGGCAGGACCGACGTAAGGAAATCCGCAGGGAGGTTGGGCCCGCCAGAAGCCCAGCTGTAAGGGGAACAGAAACATCAGAGGCTGGAAGAAAGGACCCCCAGGAGACACAGGACGACAAAGACGGTGTCAAGTGCTAGTACCACCACATCTCGGAAAAGTGTCTTAACTCTCTAAAGCACAATAGGCCTTAAAAGGTCCCGAGGGAGGGTGGGGGGAAACTTCGAGAAAGACGGGAGCAGGGCTCACACAGAAACCCCCTCCCTCTGGCTTCCCGGTGGAAATTGGCCCATGGGTCATCCCCAGCACTCCCGTCACACAGACGGCCAACCCCAGCTTCAAACCGCCGGGTCTAAAGAATTCGAAACAGCTTCATGGTTTAGTTCCAAAGATTATGTCACAGATATTTGAGTCAAGACATGATTGCAGCCCTGGCCAGTGTGGCTCAATTGATTGCAGTGTTGTACATGTAGACCACAATGTCACAGGTTCAATTCCCAGTCACAGCACATACCTAGGTTGCAGGTTCAGTCCAGACGAGAGGCAACTGGTCCATGTTTCTCTCCCTCTCTCTCAGCCTCCTTTCCCTTCTCTCTAAAACCAATAAGCACGTCCTCAGGTGAGGGAAAGAAAGGAAGGAAGACAGGAAGAAAGGGAGGGAGGGAAAGAGGGTGGGCTGCAGATGTGTGTAGCAAATCACCTGTAGTATCAATACTTTTCAAAGACATAAACAGGAGCTCAAAATCCAAGGCCATATCTATGAAACGTAGTTTCAAATCAAATGTATGGATGCCAAACCAACTCTAAGATTTAAGGGTGAACCATTTTATAAAAGCAGTTAGGAAACAGAGGATTTTAAGTTAACGGTACGACTAGTAGATGTAAAAAGCAGTGACATCTCTTGGCTTCAGCCCAGCTTCGGGGCCTGTGCTACACAAGTCATGTTTTCTAATCCACAGAACGCACCCAGTAATAAGCACTGCATGTGCCTTCCAGAAATTTCATTTAAACTAGTTAACGATCATGAAGCAATCTAAAAGGATAAACTGTGTGTGAATCCTGGGCCTAACTTTGGAGAGGCATTTGATTTTGCTCCAAGAGCAGTATCCGATATTTTGAAGTATTCGGCAACAATGAAGAGGAAAATTCTATTTTCTAACAAAGAAGTCTGTGCTGTAACTAGTCTAAGCGTTAACGTACACAAAAAGCTTTGGAACGTTTAAAAATTTAAAATGTCATTTTTACCCTCCCATTTCCTACTTCTCACCCATTTCTTCTTTTTTATTTTCCTTGTCTCAGATGAGATTATCCCCCCAAAAAATCTTATTCTTTTTCTCCACTAAAATCACTCATATTAGAATGTAACGTCGAACCTCTCTTCAACTCACCTCAAACCTTGAGTCCACCTGGTGCTTGGCACCTGGGAGTCTATTTTAATCTGGAACGCTTCCAGAGCACCCCGTTAGAATGCCTTGGGCTCTCCATGCACCTCTCCCCGCAGGTCCCCCCAAACATACACTCTGAGTAAGAACAGCGTGGCTTTAAGACATCTCTTGGAATCTCCACCTCCTTCCCATTGAATTCCAGCCCTGGAGCCTCTTCATTTAGAAGCTGCAGAGCCTCCGCTGTTCCCCAAAGTCCTCCAAATAGGGGATGGCTGTGCCCTCACTTGCTCTTCACCCCCGTGATGGGCACCTCCGTCCTGCAGCCAGGACTCTGGCAGGCAGCTCTCGTCAGAGGACATCGGGTTAACGCTATCAGAGTCGACCACGGACCTCCTCATAACTGTTGTACTTAGCAAGCCCATACAATTACATAATGTACCCCCATCATACCCTGCAGCTGTACATGTACGTGATTAGGTTTGACACTACATTTAGGTTGAAGGAGCAGCAACCAGTTTTGTCATTTAATAACACTGGAAATACTCAATGTATTTTAACTGGAGAATCTACTTAGTATCGGGTAAGACTATGCAGTCTGAGTTTTTTTAACAGACGCAAGTTTTTGCAAAATACCTAGAATTCTGAAGAACTCCCAGAATAAAATGAACTAACCTGCTCTTTACAGTGGCGCCTTGCAAATGGTCGGCTGCTTCAGGATGAAGCTGAACAACTCTTTCCCAGCCACTGGCTGCCACAAACTCCGTACCTCTCACAAGATGTGTGTGGCCACAGAAGCTACTGCTCACACTCTGGGTGGAGAATGGAAGGGGTACGTGGTTCAAATCAGTGGCGGGAACAACAAACAAGGTTTCGCCACGGGAGGGTGTCTTGACCCACGTCCACCAGCTGCTGAGTAAGGGGCATTTCTGCTGTAGACCAAGGAGGATGGAGGAAGCGCAGATCTGTTCAGGGCTGCGTTGTGGACGCCAAGCTCAGTGTTCTCAACGTGGCCATGGTAATAAAAGGGGAGAAAAATACTCCTGGTCTCACTGACGCTACTGTGCAGAAGCCACAAGTGTCTCACTCTCTATAAAGCTGATGGCCACCAATATGTTGTGAGAAGACCCCTGAACCAAGATGGTAAGAAACCTAGGACCAAAGCACCCAAGATTCAGCGTCTTGTTACTCCACATGTCCTGTAACATGGACGCCGGCTTGCTGCTCTGAACAACACATGAAGAAAAACAAGGAAGAGGCTGCAGAACATGCTCAACTTCTGGCAAAGAGAATGAAGGAGGCCAAAGGAAAACGCCAGGAACAGACTGCCAAGACAGAAGACTGTCCTCTCTGACAGCTTCTACCTCTGAGTCTGAGTCCAGTCAAAAACGAGGTCTTCCGAGAACAACAAATAAGAACATACAAAAAATTTAACCCATTTCAACCTTTTAAAATTCCATTTGCCAGAGAGCAATCTTTAAATGACATAATGTTGCAGACATCAAAGAATAGGTGCTACCCCTCAAAACCACGGAAAATCAGGTACAGAATCACAGAACTTCAGAGAAATTATTTAACCTACTGGTCCTGAAAAAGCAGTCCTCTGACCAGCAACAGTGGCATCACCTGGAAACTTGTGAGAGGTGCAGATTATTAGCTCTCCCCACCCCAACGCCTTCTGAGCCAGAAACTCTGGGGTGGGGTCCAGCAGTCGGGTGCCAGCAAACTCTCAGGGACTCTAATGCGCACAGAGTCTGAGAACCACTCCTCCGATCCAACCACTCCACTGAGGAGAAAGAGATGAAGCCGGCAGCTTCCTTCAATTCTTCTGTCAGGTTAGCGACCGAGGTCACTAGCGAGTTCCCTATAAACTTTCAAAATGATTCTTACATCAGTATCAGAACCCGAGCAGCCCAATAGGATCTTCCAGGTTGAATAGATCTACACTGCAGCGTGCATTCTCCTATCACTGCTATATAGTCAGAGACACACAGAGTTCTATGAGTAACTGACATTTAATATCTAAAAAGAGACTTCACATTACTGACCTCAAAGCAGCAACCCAAATCCCCCAGGCCTTTTTATTTGTTTGGTTAGTCGGGTTAACTACTGTTGCTATTAGCAGTGCTGGGTTTTGTCTTGTTATGGTCGTGTTCTGGTTCGGTTTTGAGGGCAACGGCAGTCCTTTCTAGAACACATGTTTTTGATAGTCTGTTTTTGGTTTGTGGGCTTCTCCCCAACCAAAAAGGTTGACACCAAAGGTGTTTGAAGAGCAATGGTAAAGAACTAAGAGGCCAGCAATTGCTAAAAGAGAAAGTAAAAGAGCAATCACAAAGGACGGAGACAGAGAGGCCAGAACTTGCTAAAAGAGAAAGTAACATCTCTCCCACCCCCCCAAAAAGAAAACTACGCATTTTTACCTTGGAACACATATTGTAATATTTTTTAAACAACAGATTTACATTCTCATTTATGTTTTACTTATCCTACAGTAAAATTAGTTTTCATGTGTGGAACACCGAGAGTCAGAATGCCAGGAAGCCAGCCTGTGTCCCAGGCACAAGGACAGGCCTGTGACCCAGCCCTACAGAGGAGGTACGTCAGCCTGCTGTACAGTGTGGGAGCAGAGTGGGCAACGCCTTCTTCACGGGCCAGACCCCACGCTGGGCTGCACCATCCACCCGCCAACACAGCATCAACCACATAAAATGAAATCTGCAATGTTCAGCCTCCGGGCCCTCATTCTGAACAGGTGTTGGACGCCTCTCATACCTTTTTATACAAACATTTCTCAGTCTAGTGGCGGTTATCTGCACAGCTAAACATCTGTTTCTATTTATGTTTCACATATCCTCTCCGTGTAGTTTATAACTTGGGTGTTAGGATTACCACAAACGGAGACTTTGGGGTTTAAGAAATAAATGTCTCCAGTCCTGTTTCTCATGCTGACGCAGTTTTCTCAATGCCATGCCACACTGAAGATATCCCCGGTCCTCTTTCCAGACTACACAATGTGTATCAATTACCTTTGACTTCACAAACCAAACTCTGAGTTCAGTGCCTGATTTTATTTCTCTGAAGACAACTCATGATCAAGGGCACAACACAACCGAGACGACTACTGATCTGATTTACGCGTCCAGCTCCCTCTGTAGGACCTGAGCACCGAGTCTTCTCGGGATTTTGTTTTTCAGTCCATCATCAAATAAAGTCAAAAGTATCATCCAGTAACACCTGTGAATGGGAAGCATCGTGTTAAGCCCTAAAAAGTGATTCAAGATTTTTCTTTTAAAAGCAGAACACCTTAGCCTAAGTGTTTAGCTGTCAAACACCAGACCTAACGTAAACAAACCATCTATAACTGCACCGTCTGATATAGTAGCTACTCACCACTTGCAGCTATTTACATTTAAACCAATGAGAAATATATTTCCTACTGACACTAACCAAATTTCAAAATATTCAATGGCCTCAAGTGACTAGTGACTACTATCACTGCTAAGTCATTCAAAATATATCATTATAACCATTCTTCTGTCATCTGAGAAAACTCTACAGAACAGTGCTGCCTCAAAAATGCCCCCAGTAACACCAAATCTGAAAGTTACAGTGCAATGGAATGTGATGAAGCACCTAGACTCGGCCAAGGCACGTAAAAGCACGTCCTTAGGTAATGCGGTGCCATTTCCTCCCGCCTAAGTAAACCGAAAGTGATCACGCTGAGCTTCTCTCTCAGTGCCCACCAGTGACCAAGGTAAGTTGTGCTGGCCAACTGGTCAACTGAGAACGAAATTAGGAAACAAGGGCAAAACTGGGTTCGCCCCGTCCTTCCCATTCCTTTCCTGAGAACGTGCCGGCAGTATTGTGTTCTCTGTGCAAGGATGTGTTTGAGCCTCGTAACTGGCAGCAGAGCTGGTGAGGACAATTAAGAGTGAAGACGGGTGACACAGGCAAACACCAACAAAGCAACTCAAATTCAATTCAGACTGACGCAATAAACTTAATCGTCTACTGTATGCCAGTGATGCACAGTAAATAAAAGCACCACCATACGCACCTTTCACAAGCTCAGTTTGGTAGGGGTGTCTAACACAGGGACAAAAACAGCATGATATGTTGTAATACAGGCAGTGAGGCATGCACGTACAAATGTAGAGGAGACATGGGGGGGTATTTTTAAAAATGTTTTCTATGAGGAAACCAGGGGAAATTTCCTGAAGGAGGTACGCAAGAAGCAGAAGAGAAACCTAGGCAGAGCCGTGCAGAGGAACCACAAGCAGTTTGGCAACTGCTGGAGTACAGTGCTTCTGGTGGTCGCTGGGGAGGAGACCAGGAGGAGGGCCGCGGGGCTGCAGAGCTCCTTCCACGCCAGACCCCAACATGACGTTACCTCGGATGATGTCAAACTTGCCTCTGTAGGTCTGTACACTTTCCTCACCAAAACTGCAAGCAACATGAAAACTAATCCCTACAACCTGATAAGTAATATGCTCAGCCTGCCATACAACTCACAATATCAGATAGCAATCACTAGTAGGAACACCAAGGCATTTCTTTGTGGCACAGTACCATTTAGAAATACATATTAAATAGTGAAAAAGACATTTTCCTCCATCTCTGTTGCCAGGGAAATACCCGTATTTCCTGTGAGTTTTATTCGGAATATCCCCAGAAAATATATCACTGAACACATTTTCAAAACAAATGGTTTGCCCCTGTATTTAAATATTCCTTCCGAGAGTTTATCTGACCAGGAGACGAAATAAATCAAAGGGAGAAGGGGTTGGAGAAGCTTTGCTTCTGTACTGCAGACCAAAATACTTGTTTTCCTCAAAAATTTATGTGGCAGAATATACGCTACTCTGTACACTGCCTGGTGCTTTCTGGGACATCCAGCCTGCGACCACCGAAACTGTGCCATGCCCAGCAATGTAAAGGGCTTCTGTGGCTGCCCACGTAAATCCTTGGAAAACACCTGCCTCTTCTGGACTCTCAACCCTGCATTTTACATGTATGTTCAAGTCTCAAAACAAGAACAACAAGAAAAACACACAGAGAATGTGTTTTCTTCAAATTACTGGGGTCCCCTCGCTCTTCTCTTAAAAAAAAAACACTCCTTGAAATGTTAGTAGTCTATAGATAGGCCTTTTCGGATTCACCCAGAGATTCTCCTCGCTGTAACACAAGCAAAACTTTCCAGACAAAAATACATAACATACAAATACATCTACGTAAACACACTGGCCTACAGGCAAACATATAACCAGTCCTTGTCACACAAACAGGTGGTTCTTAAGTAAAGGTATATTTTCAATGCAGAATATATAATGGTTGAATATAAGTTCTGGAGTCAGCCTACCTGGGTACCAGTCAGAGACCGTCAGTGACCATTTTAACTTCGGGAGCTTCAGTCTGCCCAACTGTAAAATGGGGAAACAATATTACAGCAAGTACACATATCCGTGTCTGCGTAGTCACAATGCCCGCACATACTGACCCCAGGTAGAGACTGATCAGTGTTAGCTGTTTTCACCATTTCATCCCTAAAGATGGATGATTTCACAACTATTCCATCAAGCTAGACACGTCTGTAAATTGTCACTCCTCATGCATCAAAAGCACTTACGGAAGGGTGTTTTTTTTTTTAATACGCTATGTCTAAGCCCTACTTGGATTTGGGTTCAATTGGTCCTGAATTGGGTGGGGCACCGCAGTCCTTTTAAAGCTCTCGAGTTGTTTATAACATGCAGCCGAGACTAAGAGCCACGTATAGGTCTGTAAGTCCAGAGATATACACAAGGGTAAAGTCGGCTTAATTTCTTCTGACCCAAACTGCGCACAGGCGGCCCCCCAACCCGGAGGGACAAGGCTCACCTAGCTGCTGCGACCACGAACTCAAGAGTGCGGTGGGATTTACACCCACGTCCGAATACCGCTCACGGAGGTTCAACTTGATCCCAGACGCAAACGGGGTCTGTCCGGGGCTCACGCCCCCTCGCCCCTTCCCCCGCAGCCTCCGCGGACGCCAGGCCCTCGGGACCGTGCGTCACCGCGCCCTCCCCTCCCGCCCACGGCACGTGACTCGACACGCGCCAGCTGCACGCGGACTCCAACAAAACAAAAACAGAGGAGGCCTGGCAGCCGGGCGGCGGTGGGGCGCGCGGGGGTGGCGGGGAACGGGCGCGCCCCCGCCGCCACTGCCGGGCACCGAGGCCGCGCCTCCAGCGCCGCCGGCCGCGCGCCCCCGCGGACCAGGGGCGTGAGGGCAGAGGGCGCCACCCTGTTTACAGCCCTTGCTCCGGGCGGTCTCCGCCCGGAAACGGTCTCCCGGGAGAGGGCCTCCGAGTGCGCACCCACCCGCGGACCGAGAAGCTGCTCGGAATAAAACCGTCGCCACAGCTCTGGGGTCGGGCTCACGCGAGTCTGCGCTCCCTCTCAGCCCACCGCCCACGGCGGCTCCGTGTCAGCCCCCGTCACGACTCTGCTACGCACTTCGCCCTTCTGTCTCAGCTCCAGCGCTTCCGCAGACCACCCTCACGTGGCCGCCTCCTCCCACGGCACTCCCCCGCGCCCAGGGCTGCGGACTCTCACGCACCTCGGGACCCCGAGTCGGCTCCCACCCCGTGGGACGCCACCCCTTTGGGACCACCCAGCCCACCTCTCTCGCCGGGGTGGAAGGGGCATGCCTACAAAGCTGTCAGAAGCCTAGCTTTCCACATGACGAAGCTCACTTCACCCTTAAACGTCCCCACTCACCCTTCAGCCTAGCTTCCAGCTCAATCAGATACTTAAACCGGGGGTAGGAGCAGGGTGGCAACGTACTGAATTTTCTCCTTAATTCGCCAAAACACAGGACGCAGCTCTGCCCTTGCACTTGCCTTCCGACTCCCCTCGTCGTCCCACCCAATGCAATTTACAAATAGAAATACCCACCCACCACACACCTGCTACTCCACCTGCCCTCTGGACACCTGGAGACCCACCCAGTCCGCTCGCAGGAGCCCGCGCCCCGCCGAGGTGGGAGCGAGACTGTCCGGTTCCCCAAATGAAGAGAGAGTGAGAGGGGACAAGCATCCCCCTCGCCCCGCCCGGGAGCGCTGTCCTCCCGTCCCGCAGCTCCAGAGCAAAGCAGGGCATCCTACGTCCCTCCTAGCGAAAGGGGTAGCCAGAAGCCCGAGAGCGGGGTGCTTCTCCCTTTAAGAACCCAGGCGCCGCGTCCTCTGTAAGCACCCTCCACCCCCGAGCGCGCGCCGCCTTATTTCTGGGAGACAGCAAGGTGGGGTTGGTGGGAGAAACGAGCGAGTGCTCTCGAGGTTCGGGATGTTGGTCTCCGCGGAGTGAAGAGGTGGGATCTCGAAATGGAAACAGCCTCCCTCCCTCCCCTCCTCCTCTTCTTCTGTTTACCTCAAGTTTGAATTTTATCTGCGCAACATTAGCTGGAATGCGGACATTGAAAAAAAAAAAAAAAAAAACTCTCAACCCGGCAGCAGCTCCGGAGGAGCCATGTGGCATCTGGCCACCTCCAAGGGGAGAAAAGTGCTCTTAGCAACACAAACATGGCGAAATCGCCCCGGCATTCCCGCGAAACGCTACGACCCCTACCTTCCCTCCCGCGGCTCCCGAGCGACCGGCAGTGACCCGCGGCCCCCTCCCGAGGGGCGGCAGAGGGCCCGGGGAGTCCGAGGGTGGAACCTCGGGGCGTGCGAAAGAGGAAATAACAGAGTCCGCAGTGGAAATGTTTCGGCTGGACCACCGGACCCATCCTCCTCGCCAGCAGCGAGCGGACGCCTCGTTCCCCCGGAAAGGTCTAAGCGGAGAACAAAATTCCCATGTCAAAGTCCTGCCGTGGGCCGGGCTTTCCCCACCCTTCAGAACTTACCTTTGGGGCTGAACCCACGCCGCTGCTTAAATCCCTTTCTCTTTCCTTCCTCCAGAGCGAGACGCAAGGGGGAAAACGATGCGCATGTACATTTGTACAGCATGTTCTTCTAGAATTTCCCTTTGGTTATCACGGGGAGTGAAGAAGGCTCCGGAGACAGGTGCAGTGCTGGCCGAGGCTGCCGGCTAAAAGTTGTGCGCCCTCCGCGGTGGGCGGCGGGGGGCCCCAGGCCCGGGCTGAGGACCCGCTCTCCCTGCGCGCCCCTCCACCTCCTGGGGTCGCCCCCTTCTCCTCGCGGGCTGCTGCTGCGCGCGGCTCGGCTGCAGGGGAGGTGGCGTAGTTTCTCTTCCTCCCACCTCTTCTCACTCACTTGTTTTCGTAGCCTGGGCTCCCCTAATGCTTTCCTCTCCACAACGTTGTTTCATTATATCATGTCCATCATGTGACACCGGAGAGGCTTCTCTATGGAAACTTAAAGGGGCTCCCACGTGACTGCAGCAGCAGCGGCAACAACAGCAGCAGGACTGGCGGCGGAGGACGCGGCGTTTGTACCACCACCCACCGAGAGCCCCTCGCAGCATCCCGGAGAGGCTTCTGGCGCTGCCGAAGTCCAGATAAGGCAGCCAGGGCATCCGGGAGCTGTGGCGTCTGTGCGTGCTGCGCGCCTTTGCTCATTGCATAGGAAACCGAACAGAAGGAGCGTCCTTAAATCCTTTTCCACAGTCTCAAAACCCACGCTCTGTTAAAATGACATTTCGTGGCTCCGACTTTATTTTCCACAAGAGCGATGAGTTCTCCATTAGGTCTAAGCAAATGTTACCAAATCAAACAGAAAAGCCGGATTTGTACCTGTGTAAGTTTAGCCAGCTCTTGGGTAGAAGAACAGAAATGACAAAACAATAATAACAGAAATAGAATCAGGCATCGGATATATAATTACCATCGCCACCAGCTTTAAAGCTTTCTGGAACTACATTCCTCTGGTAACTGTGGATGATGCTTGCAGGAGGCAAAATGCGATGCAGTTCTTCTCTTCCGCAGCTATATTAGGGCTTTGTTGCTGACAACAGTGAAAACTTGTTTGTGTCAGGAAGTGAAGTACGAAGATATGACCTGGAAGGTACAGACAAAAACCGAAGTGGCAGTTTTTTTCATGACTTTCTGACCACATTCTTTGAAATGGTGAGAAGCAGCTGGTCTGCTGTAAAAATGCATAGAGTATGGTTTGAAGGAAATAAAATAATCACAAAAACATTTTCCCTTAATCATACTTTACATGCTAGACACTAGAAATTACAGGGGTGAGTGTGTGTGTGTGTGTGTGTGTGTGTGTGTGTGTGTGTGTGTGTGTGTAGAGAGAGGAGCAGGTGCATTTTTGCCAATAAGTGTGCCATCACTCCTAACATCTAGCAAACACTTTGAAAGACTTAACTCAAGTCCAGTGATGTGCGGACACAGTAACATCAGTTTTTTGAACGTCTTCGTTATCATGGACTCACAGCCCCTTTATAGGCTGACGACTATAACTCAAATCTCTGCCTTAAAGTTTGTGTGGACCACGGAGATTTTATTCTGTAAATCTAAGTTAAATAGCTATTTCTATGCTTTAGTTCATGCTTTTCCATTTATAAGGAAACCCCCTGTTTGGATTGGCAGAATTATCTAAAACTTCGCAGACAAGTGAAGAGTGGGGTGGAAGATCATCCCTTCTTCTGGCTCTGCCTTCACTGTGTCCCTCCCCACCTCACCAGCCGTGATGAATGAGCTCCATAACATCCCTTCCAGTAATTCCATAATACATTCCCCAATTTTTACCTTTCTATCCAATGAGTAACTCTCCCATTCCTCTCCCCTTTTCTGCTCTTGCCCCCCAATTCAGCCCCAGTGTTGCTTGAGTGCTTAGCTCAGGCCTCCCCCAAAACTCCCTCCCAGTCCTCTTTCCCCTGTGGTTCCCCCCACTCCACCGCCCCCCACCCCTTCCAGCCGGTCTCCCTTCACAGCAACTCTACCCCCTTACCTCTCTTTGACCTCCTTTATTTCCTTCACAGCCTGGCCCTTGACTTCTCGGCCTCTTCTTCCCCTTCTTTACCTGCAATACCCTGTCCCTACTGGGGTCTCCTTCACACCCTTCTATCTGGTCCCATCTCTTCTGACGCCAAACCCAGCATTCCTCAACTGCTCGGCCTGGTCGGCTTTAGCGAGTTTGTGCCCGTGCCCCAGGGCGGGGAAAGGAGTGTGTGGTGCAAAGTGGGGGCAAGAACCCCCCCTCAGCGGTGGCCCCCTGCCTCGCCTCCCTCCGCCCCTCCTGAGCCCGGTGGCGGCGCTTCCTGGGCGGATGGTTGGGACTTGCTGCAGCAGCTGCGGTTCTGCTGTGTCATGCAAGAAGGAGGGCGGCCGGAGCTGGAGGGGGAGGAGGGGAGGAACCTGATCTCTCCGGTAGCGAAGGGCTGGAGGCAAACACCGAGCTCCCCCAGAGCCGCCCGGGAGCAGGGAGGGCTCCGCTACCCCGGGGGGCCCTCCCCGCGGGGCAGATGGTAAGTGGGGCGGCGCAGGTGGTCGCCTTGGGAAGGGAGCGCGCAGGGGGGTTAGGTGGGGAGGTGGGGAGAACCAGGAGTCACCCGGGCCAAACTGAAGGATCCCAGTGTCCAGCCGAAAGGAACTCAGGCCATAATAAGGATGACCAGAAAAACGCAGCAATAATTACCATTCGAATAACGGCCCGCAGCAGACTCAGGCTACACGGAGCAGTTGTGCATCCCTAACCCAAGACAGACCTAGAGGCAATCATTCGGGGTCTGAGACCCATCATCCCACCAGCCCCGGCTTTGTAGGGTAAAGCTGGGCAACAAAACAACGTATGCCTTACCAATTCCTCTAGCCTGGCTGAGCTTTATGAGTTGTCTTGTTTAAAACTAAGGAAGGTAATGGAAACGTGCCCAGCCTCACTTTAGCCATGAAAATAATGCTGTGGGCCAGGGTCCTCAGACAGACAGCCACTGGTGCAATTAAACAATCAATAGGAAAAACAGCTTCATCCCCCTCCCCACCCTCCTTCAACCAGGGTAATTTATTCTGCTTAAAGGAGAAAGCCTACGCACGAATATTCCCTCCCCTAACCCCCCGTCAGCCTCCGCACAACACAGACTGTGGACCCCCTATTCACCCCACTGTCGGACCGTGATTCGTGTTGCACGAGGGGACTGGCTGCTCTGGACTCGCAGCAGCCTCACCTCCGCTGCCCTTCACCACAGGGGGCTCAGAAACACAGAGCTGCTAACCCGGAGCAGTGAACGCAGGGGCAGGCTGGGCACATCCCAACAGTACTCACTTCGCCTGAGTGCGGTTCTCAGGGAAGCCCTTTTGTTCGTAGTAGTACTCCTTTCCATTTCACTCCTGGAAATTTCAAAGAACTTTCTAAAGTATCATTTTTTAAAAAATATATCAGTCATATGTTTGGGAAAGTAAGGGGTTGGTGGGACTAACAGAAAGGCTCATGACTGTCTCAAAAGCACATGCTGTTGCCAGGGAACTCAGGCTCATCTGCTTTCTAATCATTAGCATGTTCCGTGGAAGTCAAACTTCTCAGGGTATATTAAAATGAATGGCATTTGGTTAAAAGTGTTCTTGCTTGTGTCGTAGCCTCCTGGATTATTATCGATTGCCTCACACCCACACATCTTGTTTTCCTAATTCGATTTCTGTATGTGCGTCACTGCCAGGGACACGCAGACCAGACCAGTCAGGTCCACTTCCTGTTCCTCAGAACTAGTTTATATTTGGTCTCGGAGCACTAGCCGGTAAAACATGATCGCACTGATCCTCTTGGAAAGAAATCTGCTTTCAGTGAAAGCAATTTAGCCCAATTACATACTAATTCCCATGGAAAACGGCATCATTTGAGAAATAAAGTAGCCTGACAGTTGCCATTTGAGAAAAAAACCGTTCTTGAAATATAAAGCCTGGAAAAACCCATCTTTATTTTCTTTTGCCTACAATGTCCATTCCTCAGCAGTAGAAACTAAACAAACTCAAGAAGAGAAATTTAAGGATGATATTTCCAAAATGAAGCTCAAAAAATGCACATTGAAGCTGGGGAAATCTTTTAGACCAAATAAGGCATAGAATTGGATGGCATCCAGGCCCCAGGAGCACAAATCAGCTTGAGCTAGCGTTGGGGCGCTCGGAGAACAGAGTGTGATCACAAGGCTTCTCTGCAGATAGGGGCCCATCACTCTGAGTACTAAATGTCTCTTTTACCAATGCCCTATGTCCCTTGCTCTTTTTTCTCAGTTCCTTCCTCTCTATAACAAGGATGTCAGAAAGGCAATATCATAAAGATAAGCATTATGTAAACAGTTCAGTGGGTTCCGATGTAGATCACTTGTTTAGATGGAAAAAACAGAGTGTATATGGCATTGAGGAAAGGTCAGCTGAGTGAAAGTTAGGAAATTCACTCCCACTTCCACTGACCTATGACCTTGGACAAGCCAATCCAGGTCCTCTCCTGGCAGTTTCCTTGTAGAAGTTCAACAACAGTGCTGGATGGACTAAAAGATGTCCAAGCTTCCTTCCATTTACAAGAATCTGTGATTAGATTGAACTCACTACATAAAATTTTCAATTTTAGTTGGATTTTGCGATGTTAAATTTTGACACTGAAACTTTAATATCTATCCATAGAGACCTTGGAGGAAATTGAAATGGGAAATGATTTGCTGTTGACGCATCATTTTTTAGTGTCAATTGCCAGACAATCCAATGACATTGAACTTACTCTTAATGTACTTGCTCTTTGCTTGTGTGGCAGTGTTGTAGAAGCAACAGAAAGGATATAAAATTGTATGGAGAGGGCTTTAGTCATTTCAGATTTAGTTAACCTAAAATACTTTTACAAGCAAAGCAATGGAATGATGAGGAAGGGTTACATAAGAAATAATCAACGGAATCCTCATGGAGCTAATACTCTATTTACCGGTATTTTAATTAGTGAGAGGCAAAAGTATACGTAGCACAGATTTTTTAAATTTTCAGATTCACGATATTAAGAAGTAGCATAAACAAATGTGAGATTTGTGCCAGAGAGAAAAGACCTGACTTTGAAATCCAACTCTGCCACTGTATTTATTCATTATTGAGTGCCTGCTCGGAGTCAGGTGCTGTGCTAGGCACTGGGAATACAAAGATGAATAAGACAGTCTGCTCCAAAGGCCCTGACAGTATAATGGCGAGACAGATGAGTGCGGAGTTGGGCACACAGCAGTGAGATGATCCCAGCAAGAGAGCTCATTGGAGGGGTACCGAACCAGGATTTCCATCGTAAGGGTCCCAAACCATAGAAGGCAAATTTGGAAAGGAATTCTGAAAGATAAGTAGAAGGAATCCAGACAAATGGGCAAGTTAAAGAGAAATGTGTTCCAAACAAAGAAAGTATTATGTGTAAAGACCTGGAGGTAAAAAGGTGTACCCAGAGAGTTGAGGGGGAAGAACAGTGCCCAGTGAAGTAGTAGATTTCTCAGTAAATACGTTGTACGAATGCATGCCAGACGTACTGAAGGATACACCCAGAAAGATCATCAAGGTCTTGTATGTCTAAGAAATTTTCCATTTATTGTAAGGCCAATGGAGGACCACTGGTGAATTTTAAGAAGCCTGTCCATTTTAGAAAAATCAATGCAGTGTGGAGAATTTCTTAGTGTGAGTAACACTATAAGCAGGGAGAAGAGATAGGAGATCAGCACTGTAGGAAAGAAATGATGGACATCTAAACTGAGGCAGCAAGCATGTAAATAGAGAAGAAGGATTCAAATTGTATTTAAGATATAGAACCAACAGAATGTTAGTATTGATTGTATCTGCAGGATTTGGAGTAGAAGGAGATTTACCACTAGGTAAATGGGAGGACAGTGGTACCCTATGCCAAGATGGAGACTTTAGGAAGTGTAGGTTGAGAAGGGAAGGTGATTAGTTTCATTTGAAACATGTTGAGTTTGAAGTGTCCATAGGATATCAGAATGAAGCTTCCTGTGACCTAATTGAACAGGGAAGTCTAGAACTCAGAAGAGGGATCTGTGCTAGAACCATCAGAATGTGATGGTTTATGGAAGTAGATGAAACCCCTGACAGAAAAGGTGTGGCATAAGAAGACAAGAGGACCTGCTCTGGAACCTTATGAAAAATGCCCACATTCAAAAGGTGGGGAAACAAACCTGCAAAGGAAGCACATCCAGAGAGGTAGCAGGACCAGAACAAGTGGCTTCAGAGAAGCCAAGGGAGGAATTGTCAACATTATTAAATGCTAGAGAAAGGTCAAGAAAAGTGAGGACTGAAAGTCCTCAGACTTAGCAACAAGGAGGCCATTGTTGTGTTTGGCAAGAAGGAGTTTATTGGGGTGGTAACCAGATTGCAGTGGATTAGAGGAGGAGTCGAGAAGGTAGAGGAAGTTCTTTTGGATAAAGGGCAACTGGGTGGGGGAGGATAAAAGTATTGGGAAGAGAATAAAATCATGGTCTGTTGAGGCTGCACAGGGAAAGAAGAAAATAATACAATAACCCAGAATTTTTTATTCTTTGAGGACTTCTCCTTCAAATTCAATGGCATGACCATTCATCCAATGCTCAAGTCAAAAACAAAAGAACATGTAGACGTTCATGATGTATCTCTTTTCCTCAGTCCTCACATCCAGTCTATCAGGAATTCAGGTCAACCCTACCTCCAAAACATTTTCACAATCTGTTTCTTTCTATCTGTACTATTGCCGCCCTAACACAAGCACCATCTTCTGGGCTTCTGTAAATAGCTTTCTAATTGGTTTTCCTGCTTCCACTCTTGCTCCTATTCTCCACAGCACAGCCAGAGTGACAGGAAGCATAAAACATAAATCAGATCTTATTGCTTCTCTTCTTGCAACCCTCCCGTGTCTTCCGATTGTACTTGGAATAAAGTCCAGACTCCTTCGCTGGCCTACGGAGCCCTGGGTGGCAACCCAGACCACCTTTTCAATCTTGTCTCCCGCCACTCTCCCTCAAGTCTAACCATGCTGGCCTTTTTTCTCCTCCTCAAACACATTGGATTTGCTCTTGTTTTAAAGGGCTCATCCCAGATATTTCCTTTTCCTGGAATACTCTTTTATTCATTCTAATCTCTGTTTAAATGTCACCTCCTCAAAGAGGCCTTTGCTGACCGCCCTTTAACCAAAGTATCTTCTGTCCATCTTCCCAACTATCCTATGTAAAACTTAATTACTATTTGTTTTTATTGTTATGGTTGAGAACTCCTCTAAAGTTTAAACCCTGTGAGGATTCCTGGCATATAG